GTTCCACAGCCCAGGAGAGTAGTCCGGAATGCATACACTATCCCATATCTGGCCTGGTTGGCCTCTCTGCTTTTTACTATCTTTCCCCAAAGTATCCATCAAGCTTAGCCTATCCAGCCAGTCCCACTGTCCAGAATTTACTCTCTCCTTCACTTTTCTCAAACACTTTGCTGCCCTAAATAAAGAAGTAGATGGAAGCAAGCTCAAAATGGGAAAGTTTATTCAAGGATAGAAGAGGGATTGCAACTCAGGACAAGCAAATGGCAGCAAGCTGCCAGCGAGTAGGGTCGGGGGTTTGGGGTGGGTTCCATGGACAGGCAGGGAACGTAAAGAAGGGACAGTTCAACGAGGGTCTGTTACAATCAATGACAAAAGGAAGGCTGGCTCTGAAAACTCGCCGAACAGATGGAACCCAGCCAGCCACACACACAGAGGTCCATTCAGCCCGCTTGGCGAGACCAACCTGACCTGCATCACCTCTGTTCACGCCTCTGGCAAAATTTCCCACAGTAGACAGGGGACAGCTTCTGACCAACAGCTTATCATCCAAGGAAACTGTAACATAATCAGTCTTCCGTAAATCGGGAAAATCGATCTCTTAGCCTTGAAGTTGTAGCTTCCCTGGGGCACAGGCATGAGACTCCTTTTCCCTACTGCACTTCTATCTTAGACTGTGATTTTTTTTCCCAGCTCAATGAGACAAAGCAGCCAGTGCATTTCCTTCCACCAGCGTACCATCCCCACTCATCTCTGCTGCAAATGTGAATGCTGGAAGCACCCCTCTCTTTGATATAGGGCTTTCTGTGTTGCACCTATTACCGCCAATTCCTGGCTGTGGCCACGGCCAGCTGGCCAGCGGGTGATCCAGCCTCCAGACCCCGCATCAGCACCAGCTAACTGCTACTGCACCTGGGCCCCACAGTGCAGGCTGGTTTCCCCGGGGGAAGAGGACTCTGAAATAGAGTGTAACGACAGAACACTATTAAGGAGTTCTCTTGGTATCTGTGTATATGGAAGGATGGAGAAGGAATCAGGATCGAACAGAGGGAAATGTCTAGCTGTGACAAGGGCCCCCAAACAGCCTGCGGCAACCCCACTATGACCTCAACAGCTAGTTTGTTCCTAAATTGGGACCACGATGGCCAGGCATTTGCACCTCTGCATGGATTAGTCACTGGACGTGGGCACCCTGGCAAGGGTGTGGTGTCAGGCTCAGTAGCTAAGGCACCCTCAAAGGGGCTGATGACTGCAGCCCTAGCACAGGCAGGAGGTCCTTAGTGAAGGAGGATCTGGACAGCATAGGACACTGTCCACAGGACTCTCCCTAGCCAAGGTCCTCCATGACATATTTGGCAAGGTGGAATGACTCAGGACCACATTCAGCGCCGTGGCTGCTGGTGGACACAAGTATCCCATGCTCACCCTGCAGTCATTGGCCAAAGCCGTGGGCAAAGTCGACCCTGAGATGAGTGGGAAGTTCACGGGCATGGTGTTTCACGGCCCCACCCCCACTGTGCCTCATGGGTCTGATCTGCTGTCTGGAAAAATCTATTCTATACTTCGACATCAAGGATGAAATGAAGCAGGTGTCAGAGGTAGCCCCAGGGGCCACACAAAGAACTGGTCCCCCTCTTGCACTTTTTTAAAGATTTATTTTATTTGAGAGAAAGAGAGAGAGGAAAGGAGAGACTGTGAGTGGGCGAGGAGCAGATGTGGAGAAAGAATATCAGGCAGACCCCACACTCAGGGCTGAGCCTGAGGCAGGGCTCAACCCCACGACCCTAAGATCACAACCTGAGCTGAAATCAAGAGTCGTACATTTAACTGGCCAAACCACCCAGGTGCTCCCCCTCACCCCACTGCCCTGGGAATTTTAACACCTGCTCCTCCACCTTCGGGGCTGGCATAACCTCCAATACCCCTGTGTCAAGCTCATGACCCGGCATGACAATCAATTTGGCCACAATAGCCGCACAGCAGACCTCATGGTCCACAGAGCCTCCCAGGAGTTAAGAGCCCTGGCCACGAATTCTGGCAACAAAATTTCACCTTTATGGAGTCCCTGCCCCAATACTGTCCCCAACACATGGAGAATTTCCCATCATCTGCACCAGGGATTCGAAACTGGGGGTGGTCTGACTCCCCTCAAGGGACGTTTGGCAACATCTGGTGACATTTTGGGTTGTCCAGACTGGCTGGTGGGGGGTTATGCACTGGCCTCTGGCAGGGAGAGGCTGAGAAGGCTGACCAACACCCCACAGGGCACAGGAGGGGCCCCAAGAGAAGGACAATCCCCAAATGTTGGCTGAGGCCGACAAACTTCTGTGGAGTTCCCAGCCCAGGTCCCCGAAGAAGGGGAAGCCCTGGCTCCTGTCCTCTTGTCCTCACCCATCATGCTGCCATGAATCCATGCCACATGCATCAAGGGCAGGACTGGGAAGGAAGTATTGGGACGAGGGCTGGGAATGCAAGGTTGAGAGGGGAGGGTAGCAGTCAGTTATCCGTGAGGCAATATGGAAGAAACCTTTGGATGTGGCAAGCAAGTGCTGTCCATGTTCCTCCCATTGAACCTTTGCTGGAAACCTGGAGGATATTTTGGCTCATCTTAACCAACTCTTATAAATCAGAGGTGAGAAAATGGCAGAGCAACCAGGCTGCCCAGAGACGTCGGCTGGGAGTGGGGTGGCCAGCATTTCCAGGCCTGGAGGAGGAACAGGCTTCCAGCAGCTCTGGGGCACGGCTCTCAGTTATGGGGTTCATCAGGCCCCGGGCTCCCCACTGCCTATGAAGCTGCCCACCCGCTCCGGAGCCCGGCCTCCTGTCAACTATTCTGTTAAATGGTTTTTGAGTTGGCAAACCCAAGTGCATTCTGGGGAAAAAAATAGCTCCGGGAGTCAATCCTGCCTGCCTTCTTTTCTGAACCAGCACCCCACAGGAGATGCTTTGAGCTCTAGGGCAGGGAAAAGCTGGCCTGCCCCTGACCTGCGGACCCCCAGGCGGGCAGGTCTGCCCAGGCCGCTGGGGACCTGGGGCCACCGGCCTCCTGGGATTTTAGGTTTAAACTGACATGTACCCCGGGGTCTCTCAGCTCATCTTCATGGGAGCAGGGATGGACAGTGAGGGATCTGCGCTTCCCAAGGGACTCCAAGGTCACCCTGGAGTATGCTGGGGGTGGGGGGCCAGTATAGTCTAGACTAACTGCGGAGGAGATAGATGCCCCCTCCCCCAGGTCTCCTTGTGGCCCAACTGTCACAGGCTCTTTCTCCACAACACGTCTTGCAGGAGCCACTGGGTCTCCAAACCCCCCTGAGACCATGAAGCGGGCTGTGCCCTTAACAATCCAAGCAGTCCGCAGGAATGAGGGTCAGCGATCCCCTTCCTCTTTATCCAACCAGCCTCTGCATGGACTGTCCTCAAAGTCAGGAGTCTTTAAAAGGTATCATGTCCTGATGTCTTAGCAGCTCGATAAAGAAATGCAGGTTTTAATGGGGGCTGAGGGAGGACAGCACATCAAAGTACGCATCTTTGTACAGAGCCTTTTTATTGAGATTTCACAGAAGCAATTTATCAACACAGGAAACCAGCATTGCTGCTCCCAAGCAGCGGTGAAAGACGGTGATACCAAAGGACAGCACGAGCCCTGTGCTGGGCAGGAGCCCGCAGGCGTGGGACAGCGTCTTCCGTGGGCTGGGACCTCAAACGTGCACGAGTAAGTGGATACCGAGAGAGGGCTGCACACCTCCACGGGCACAATCAGAGTGAAGAGAGATCACAACGAATGCTAATTTCCCAGGTACAACAGCTAGATTTACAGCATCTAATTCACCGGCTTCACTTGTAGAGCCACGCTCAGCAGGAAACGGTTTTGTTTCTTTAAGGGCGTGACGCTTGGCCGGGAACAGAGCAAGAATGGGGCCACCCTGATGGCTACACAGCGAGGAAGACAGGCAGAGAAATGTCAGCACGTGAGGAGGGACCGCCGCCCCAGCCCCTCCCAGGGACTGGTCGTTCTAGTTCACGGAAATCCTAAAGGGTCCGTCCACTCGAAAGTAAGACCACTGCCAAAGGTTTGACCACGTGTGAGGGCACTGGCCTTTATGACCCTGTCTTCCAAACCATTTGGAAACAGCTGTGCGTCAGGGGTAGGGACAGGGAGGTCACGTTCAAAGGCGCTGCTCCTAGAGGTGGTGTTTTAAAACACGGCTGGCCCCCTGTGCCCCATGCTGAGGACCAATCTCTCATTTAGTCCTTGACACATCATGCTGACAGCCAGCGGCAAGACGGGGTGTGGGGAACAGTGCTCCGTGGGCGGCCCTGGGCTCTGGGAGTAGAACGACCTGGAGGGAGGTGGGTCTGCCTCGATGGCTGAGACGGGACCGCGGCTTCCAAGCCAACATCCAGAGGGAGATGCATTACTGAGATTCTTTGATACCAAAGCCAGTGTGGAAGCAAGCGTTGGGGGCCTTCCGGAGAGGTAGATGGAAGCAGTATTTCATGGCATGTGTGCAGTCAGGTGTGGCCAGGGAAGTGCACATGCCTCTCGGCGCAGAGCCCAGGATGAGCTTTTGCTGCAAACAGTCCATGGCAGTGGGGGGTGGGGAGGGAGATGTTTGCCCCCGGGGCTGTGCACATTATTCCCACTTTATTTCATGGAGCACAGAAAGGGCTGCTGTTTCTTTAAATAACAAACTATACAAAGAAAAAGGAGCAGAAAGAAGGAATGTCTCTGACGAAAACAAAGGTAAGGATTCAATAAATAATATAAAATGCTTTTGTGCTAAAATAGAACTCTGTTTTTTAATATATATATATATATATATAATATATATATGTCGTTCGGCAATCTTTATGTTACTCAGAAAAAGCCAAATCTCTTGGAATTAGTTAAAACATAGAAAAATACGATTTCACAATAGAACTTAAAAAAATGGCCAGTGTTTAGCTTACAAACCACTTAGAATATATACATCACGGAATATACTCAGGGAATTAAAGTTCGAGTCCTTTTGTAATTTTGAGTGCACGGTTAGAAATAGTTCTCCATTCCCTACCCTTACATCAAAGATGTTTTAGATCAGAACAAAATAAAATACGGAAGCAGAACGACCAGTTTTCAGAGATGGTTTTGAGATCGTGGTGTTGGGGAGTTTGCTGTAAGAATGTGAGTTGCTGAAATTTTAAAACACAGTTATTGTTCCTGTAGGTTTTGATGACATGCCTATACTGTGAGCTCACTTTCTATAGTGAGTGTGTGCGGATTTCATTAAAGGTAGTTAAATATTTGGGGTGCGGCATTCACCAGTGCTCCCCTGGCTGTGTCAGTGAGAGGCCCCGCATCAGCCACCACGGGGAGGGCATCCCGGTCCCTCAGCTCTAAAAGGGCAGGTATGTTAGTCTTTGAGGGGGAAAGAAATCTCAAGTCCATTACAACGCAAGGAAACCGTAGTATTCCCGAGTTCGACTTTCATTAGTTAACAGGAAAAGAACTCTTTTTCTAAATGTGGCCACATGAAAAGAAAAAAAATTCATATTCATAGGAATTTAAGTAATTGAGGAATTCAAACCTCTGGAGTCAACCTTTCGTGGGAGGAGGGGAAATCATGTTAGGTCTCCAGGGAAAAATGTTTTCCAAACATTTCAACTATTAAAGCTCCCTCTGGAAGTGGGCATGGCTTAAACAGCAAGCTGGGTGTCGCTGGTCTGGGGAATCTTATTGTGGCCCCAGTGGACGTGTGATGAAGGTCTGTAGCTGGCCACAGGGCCCCAAAGGGGGCCACCCAGCCCCCATGCCTGGACCTGCTGGTGGCTGCAAGGTACGCAAAGATGGGGTGAGGGGGGACGGTTAGCTCTGGGTGCCAGGTGCCTTCCTGGAGGGTGCTGGAGGGTACGCAGGGCCCTTAGGGGAAGTCGATGGGCTATTCATAATTCCAGTGGCTCCATAATCGAAAATAAAGCGACCATGTCTCACAATCATTACTATTCAACTCCCTCTGTAAAGAGGGAAGGAATCAGCCAACTTTAGTCAGTCATTTCTTTGGTGCTTCGTGTAAAGGGAGTGATTATTTATTTTATTTTTTTTAACCTGCAAGTTACGGCCTTCCTTGCCCCATTTCTACCATTGTTCTTGTCTGGGAGACACCCACTCCACCTGCCCATGGCCACCCAGCCACCACCTGTCCTATGCTCCTCTGAAGCCCACCTCCTCTCCGGGCACAAACGTCGCCAGTCCTCGGGGGTGTGGAGATAATTCAGCAGGCGTCTCCAAATGACCCAGGAACACTTCCCCGAACAAAATTACTAAGAGAAAAAAAAAAAATCACATATGATTAAGTCCTACGGAATCGGTCTTCTCTTACCCCAGCACTTTTCAAAGTACCGTTCATACATTTACAGCAAGTGAAAAAGGGCCTGACTTTGAGAATTTGGCTTTCTTCTTGATGTGAAAATCAATTCCATCGAAAAGTCAAATGCTGTGTCCAACCGGCCCGACTACAAATTCCGAGTGACATTTTTCAAATCATCAGAGAAAGATCACACTTTGATCTTTTTCGGGGAGTTAAAGCTCCCTGTGAATGGGTAAAGGATATCCTGTAAAGGCCCGTGAAGGCCTTAAAACAATAGTTTCTGGTGTCCACAGGACGCATTTCAAATCACATGTCAAGCTAGGTCTTGCTCCAAATGGATGGCTGTGTGTTGCTGCCGTGGGCTTTCCTGAGCGGGATGCCTGCTTTCCTCTACATCTGGTCCCTCCTGTTCCACACAAATTTTGAAACTGTCACATCCGCGGATTGGCCAATCAGAGGCATGAGTAGCGAAAACATTTGCTTTAACAGTGAAACGGCTAATTTCTAGAATTTTTGCTGAAAAATCATCCTTAAACACGATGCAGAAGGGAAAAAGCATGCCTCCCGGTGCCGTGAAAGGGCAAATGCACTGGAGAGAATATTCTCGCCTGGAAAAATAACCCTGGATTCACTGAAGTTTTTAGCTTCTTCCATATACGTTGTAGAGCGGCTTAAAGTCATCTTTTAGACTTTGCTTAATTCCCTTGATTCATGAAGTCAAGACATTATAACTTTATAAAAATAACATCAACTTTATCTTCTTCAAGTGAGAAAACGTATGCTGCATCTTGTCCTTTTTCGTGGTCTGCATGTTGAAGGGTCAGCCATCGAGGAATGAGGTCACACTCTTAGAACGTTCTAGAACAGCTCTGCAGAGCGGCGGCCTTCTCTGGCCTTGCAGGCACGAGTTGCTGGCACAGAAGGGTCCGCAAGTGTTTTCCGAGTGGCAGCGGGGACGCTGGCCCTATCAGACGGCTTCGGGGACAAGCACAGGTATCAGACCCACCGGACGAGACCCCGGCGCTTGCAATTTAGGCTTGAGGCAAGTCTTCCAATTCCTGTGTCCTTTCTGAGGACAGATGAGCCTCCTGTTCTTCTCCAGAGCAAAGATGGTGTCTTTCAAAGAGCTGCAGGCTCGCATGGCTAATGCCCTAGGTGGTAAGTGGGAAAGACTAAGCCCAGACCCCAAAGGAGTCTGTGTCCTCCTCAACAGGAGGGTGTTGGCTCTGTCTGGCAGAGGCTCAGGGCACGCCCATTCCCAGCCTGTTTAAGTGCTGAATGATGGGCGCCTGGGATAGGGCCGCGACAGCAGTGACTGTGGTCATTAACCATGGCCGCAAGGCACTCACCCTTTATGAGGAACGACTACCTTTCCCTTGCCAGTGGTTTTGTAAAAAACAATGTGAATCCTTTTTAAACCAGGGCAAGGCACGTAAAGAGTGCCTCTGTCCTCCTCTACTGGAAAGAGCCGAGTAGAATGCATGTGTTGATTTAAACCCCAACTGATATCTCAGATGGGGAGTGGACCTCCACATTTCTCTTCCAAAGGGAGCCCTATGAAATAAAAAACTCTCCGTAATCACCTTCCAAACTCCCAAAATATAATTTTCCCAATGACCACAGTGCATGGAGATGTGGGCAGGACGCAGGTAATGATGCTGTCATCTATGTTGTCAACAGTTAACTGAGGAACATACAACAGGATTGCACGAAGAGTAAGACATATATGGGGACTTTAAAAATCAGTTATTATTTTCAGTCAGGTGATAGAGAGGACTTCACTGGGAAACACACTGGTTCTTCTAGCCCAGCATTTATTTGGGGCATGAAAAGGCCGTCGGACGCGTCGTGGGAGAACCGTGGGACTCCCCACCCGGGGCCCAGTACCACTCACTAATGACAGGCAAAGGGTGAGACGGAAGTCATCATACACAGTTAACTCATTTCAGCACATTCATTCTTCAGCATTCTTTTGTCAATAGAATTCATTTTAAATTATACTACAACGTAAGACAGAGCAATTCTTTCCTTCCTTCACATGCTGGTTGCAGGTATGTGTCCTGGGGGCAGGAACGAGGATGACCGTGTCCTGTAACTGCTTATTGTCGGAGCCCCACACAGACTCAGCCCCAAGCGTCCGTGTACGCCCAGACACGTGAAAGTGCGATTTGTCTGAAAATCACTGTTGCCCTGAAAGTTTAACACCCCCGCCTGTCCTTCAGGATCCCTGTGAAGCCTTCCAAGCATCCACTGTTGAACGCTGTCAGCGATGAGCGACCCCCAAGTCCTCTGAGGGCACGCTCCCTCTGTTCCCTGTGGGACCCAGGCGGGGACCTGGGTGGGGCCGCAGCAGGGCAGGGGCCGGAGAGCAACCTTCTCAGAAACTATCCTCAGCTCGCCACGTGGGGCATCAGGACGTTGGTTGGTGCTGAAGCGCACGGAGGAAATGCGCGCTGACCTCCCAGGGCCCAGGAGCGCGAGCGGACACGGAGGAGCCCAGCAGAGACACAGGGCGGCCCTCGGGTCACCTGGCACCTGCCATAGGGGGCTGCCCTCCGTCTTGGCAAGTCTAAGATATGTTTGCTATCAGACATACAGACATTTTAAGTTCGAGGTTCACGTCTACCCAAACAGGTGTGCAAGAAAGGAAAAGAACTTCTGTTTGTCTCTTCAGTAGTTTCGAGCGTGGACAGAGTCATGTGCAGGAGGCACTCAGGAGGGATGGGAGGCCGGCCGGGCCCAACCATGGGCACAGCTCCTACAAGGAGCACCTCGGCGACCTGGGTCCTGCCAGCTGTGGAAGGGCCCCAGGGACAAGCGGACCGAACCTCTGACCCCCGGACTTCTCCAAAAGGCTCCCCGTCAAGGGCTGAAAGCCCCCAGTGCGGGCTTCCTCGCGGCCCCGTCTCCCCGGGGCCCTCCCGTCCAGGGCGTCAGAGTCCATTGCTGTTCCTGTGGCAGAGAGGCGGCTTGGAGAGCTCCACCACGCTGGGCCGGGACTTGTTGAGGAACTTGGGGGCACGGCGCAGCAGCCGCTGAGCCTCCGTGAAGGTTTCCGTCAGCTCCTTCTTCCACTGCACAAACTCGGGGTCGCTCTACAGGGGGACACAAAGGGAGAGGTTGTTACGGGCGCACCTAGCTGGCCCGCAGACATGGCGCCTCCGGTCATGACCATGCCAGCCCGCTTCCCGGGCCACCCACAGGGAGCAGGGCCACTCTGGCTGGCCCTCCAGGGGACCCCGCCCAAGTCTCACCCTGAGAAGGACCGCCTGTGACTCGTTCAGAGAGCACCTGTGCTTTCAGATTTCTAAAACAGTTCAAGTCCATACAGTAATGCCAAAGAAGAGCTCTGTCCCATGAACACACACCCCACGTGTGCACTGGAGGGATGGTTACTGGACACATGTCTCGGTTAGCTACTACTGGTCTAGCTCTCTGAAGGCACACGTGCGCAAACACACCCATGCACACTCCCACCCCACACAAACCCCCACCCACCTGGACACACACACACCCATGCACACCCACCCACACCTGCACACACCCCCCATTGCACCTGGACACACACACACCCTACACACACACGTACACACACACCCCAGTATCCCAGAGGATTAAATTTGGGCTACAGTAGAATTCTGGAGAGAGAAAGAGGGCATCTCCCTGGAGCGAAGTCACTTCGCTATCTGTGTTTACTTAAACACCCAGGTCCCAACCTTAAACATGCTGAGTTCTAAGAACCGGAAGACTAGCTAACAGGCCCCTACTGAACACTGGACAGAGTTTCCAGACAGGGCAATCAGATTATAACACGGACTTCCTCTCCAGCCATTTCCCAACATTTGCTTCTGTATTGTCAACTGTTAATTTGCTGAGACCCTCGTGCCCAGGGGCTTTCCTAAGTAAGTGGTAAAGCATGGATTCAAGAAGCTGTCCCATATGCAGGTGGCCATCTCCGTGGACAGGTACACAGTTGCTCTTCCAGTTAGGGGAAAGTTTTTTAAAAACACAAGAAACTCACCTCACATTGCAAGACAAATTGCTTTCCTCCTTTTATCCTCAATAAAATGCACTTTTTGTCTTTAATCTGAGTTTCTTCCACAGACAGAATCTGTTCCATTGTCAGTAAACTTTGCTAGCAATAAAAATTAAAAAATGACAAATTACTTTGCATTACTTCCCAATTTCTTAAGCTAAGTTAATAAATAATATGGAAAGCTATTAGCTTAAAAAGTTTTTTTAAAAATCAGCCTTTTCCTTTTTTTTTTTTTAAGATTTTATTTATTTATTTGACAGACAGAGATCACAAGTAGGCAGAGAGGCAGGCAGAGAGAGAGGAGGAAGCAGGCTCCCCACTGAGCAGCGAGCCTGATGCGGGGATCGATCCCAGGACCCTGCATCATGACCTGAGCCGAAGGCAGAGGCTTAACCCACTGAGCCACCCAGGTGCCCAGCCTTTTCCTTTTGTTGATGATATTCTAGAAATGAGGGGGAAGGGCTACGAAGGGACAAGCACAAAATTCAAATGATGGCATCTCGAAGGAAACTCCAAAAGACGGTGTCTCTGTAAGACAACAGCACAGCTGTTCCCTCGACACAGAATCGATCTGCGAATGGTTGTGACTTGCACGTGTCCTCTCCGTGTCACACACACCTCTGAATTCTATCGACCGAGTTGTGAGGAAACAGTGAAGTGCCGTGTAACATGAGCGAGGGGGGAGCAGCCGAGCTCCTGACACGGCAGCTCGGGAAAGGTCTGGCCAGGCTGGCTTGTGAGCTAATGATATTTCAAAAATATCAAAAGGATGTTATAAATACAGGCGACATCCTTAAAAGATGGTCACGCCAGGTCTAGAACACGATTGCTTACGGTGAATGCTATAGTGTCGTAAGCACCTTACCATTTATGTTTTTTGGGATAAATACTCAGGACTCCTAAATGAAAAACAACACTATCATAAATGCTCGCGTTTACCGTTCCCTGATTTATACCTATTAATCCATCCATCCATATACACTGGGTAGCTCTCAAACAGAACACCGAACTCTGACTTTTAAAACCAAGCTAACATACTGCATCCAATGTTTAAAAAAGGGAAGACTTTCTTTTTTTTTTTTAAGTTTTCAAATATCCTGTAAAGTGAGATAATTTCATTTCAACGCACACCATGGTGACTGTCCAGGAGATGGCAGACTATGGTTGGCCAGGGGACAACATGGGTTTGAACTATGTGGGTCCACTTCTACGGGGATATTTTCCCCCATAAATATAGCACAGTTCTATAAACGTTATTTTCTCTTCCTTGTGATTTCCTCAAGAATGTTTTCTTTTCTCTAGCCTACTGTATTGTAAGAATACAGTGTATAAATCATGTCACATGCAATTTCTGTGTTAACCTGCTGTTTATCTCATCAGTCAGCCCTCTGCTCAACAGTAGGCTATCAGCAGCTAAGTTCTTGGGGGAGTCAGAAGTTCCACATGGGTTTTTGATGGCATGAGAGGCCAACACCCCTGACCCCATGTTGTTTAAGGGTCAACTGTAAATGCGTAATATCCTCAGGGACACTTACTATCTGGAAACATTATATATTCTATAATAATAATATATATGAATTACAGTTTGGTTGCTAAGTTCATATATTTATAAAATACGATATATATTATATTATATGTTATGTTATGTTATGTTATGTTATGTTATGTTATGTTGTTATGTTATGTTATGTTATGTTATACATTATATAATACTCACCAGCACCTGAGTTACAACTCAAGACCCCCAAAGAAACTTATTAAAGCAATTCAGAGCCTAGATGTATTAGTTTGAGGAAATGACTCCCATGGCACTAGTAATGGTGAGAAGTCTTGTTTATCTGAAAGGAATGGGCTGTGTAGTAGCAATCACTCATATTTAAATAGCAACTTTGCCAGTGGGGACTTATTTATTTTTTTCAAGCATTTTATTTACTTATTTGAGAGAAAGACAATTGCACGTGAGTCAGGGAAGGAGCAGAAGGCACAGGAGCCCCAGGGACAAGCAGACTCAGGGCTCAATCCCACGACCCTGAGATCATGACCCTGAGCTAAAAGCAGGAGTTGGATGCTTAACTGACTGAGCCATCCCAGCACCCCTTTAGCAACAGAGATTTATAAAACACATTCCAAAATCAAACAAACAAGATCAGAGCTTACTGCTCTCTACACTTCTCACCACCGGACAACTGATGGGCAGGATTCTGACCCATCCAAGACCTCAGCTATGTTTGTGACATCTGGGATCACTGCCCCGATTCCTTGGCCCTGGAGGACTAGCCATTCCCTCCTAGGAGCAGAAGCACTGCCTTCTCCTTGGGTCGCCACCTCTGGATAAGCCCTCTGCTCCCCCATGCAGTAGGTGCTTAATAAATGCAGCCTGTCTGGCTTCGAAGGACAATGCAGATTAGAAATTTCTTCTTATCTTATTCACAAACATGAGTCCTCGAGAAAGGACCTGAGGGGCAGTGGTATCTTCCTGCCTATGGCATGGGAGTCCCTTACACTTTTCCAATGAAACGGAGACCAAAGGAAGTGTGGTTTGGCGACCTCTGCTCTGGGTCAAGCATCACAGCTTACACCACCTACCTCATTTCATGTGAGCCCAACATGGGGGGGGGAGGCGGGGCACATGAAGGGGAAACTGAGCACAGCCATACCCACAACCCTCAGGCTGTGTCGTGGATGCCAGACCTTCTTCTCTGAACCCTGGATTCAAGCGCCTCTGTCTGACTCCAAAGTCCTGGATTTTTTTTTTTTTAAATCTCTTTTGATCTCCCTGACTACTCTCCAGCCTCCTTCAAATCTGTTTTGACCTCACATTCTATTTTCGGACTTTACAAAATCTTTCTTTGTCTCTAAGTTTATTTATCGATTTATTTTTAAAGATTTTATTTATTTATTTGACAGAGATCACAAGTAGGCAGAGAGGCAGGCAGAGAGAGAGGAGGAAGCAGGCTCCCCACTGAGCACAGAGCCCGATGCGGGGCTCGATCCCAGGACCCTGAGATCATGACCTGAGCCGAAGGCAGAGGCTTAACCCACTGAGCCACCCAGGCGCCCCCGACTCTAGGTTTAAAGTTAGAGTTTGAACATCCCAAATCTCCTGTGCACAAGTTCAAATAGACACCCGGAGCTCAGCAGGGTACTTGGTTAGACGTGCCAGCCCTCTGAGAGAGCCACGCGATAGCGAGGATGCTGCCAGTTGGTGCCAGGAAGGCTGCACTGGACTTACCCGGGACTCGCCCTCTCCTCTCCACTCAAGTCTGTTGGGAAAGAGGTAAAAATAGCGACGCTGCCACTGAGTCAGGAACGGGTTCCCCAGCTTCAGCATGTACCCGTGCATGATACAGTCCCTTCCTAGAGCGTAATCTGGGGAATACAAACAACCCCAAATTAGACAGGCTTGGGCACAGACGGGCTCTGCTCTTCTCAGACACAAACAAATAAGAATGACACGCTCTTTGGAAAACTCAGGTTTCTATGAGTGGAGCATGTTGTGCAAACCGTTGTCCCGGTTCTGAGACCCAGGTGAGCGTGAGATCGGAAGAGCTGGTCTTCGCTAACATAATGAATGGCTGTTTCTCCATATTGGGAGACATTCGTGATGTTCCCTTGTGGCTCGGAGAGGGTACAAACAGTGTAATTCAGTTCAAGCTACGCCCGAAGAACCTTTGTCTTTATGTGGGACTGGGGTTCTCCCCCTCAATCCTGTCAATAACAGTAAGCGGTTGACCAAGCAGCCAAGGTAACACAGGCTCGAAAATGTTTATTCCTTAAGGCTGTATTTATCCCTCCAGTACACGCTCACCCAGACAGACCAAGCTAACTCGCTCTCATGGAGTCCCGATCATATCGTTAGAGTGAAGTACTGTCTCTCTCATTCTTTCTCTCTTTTTTTAAAAAGGTTAATTTTAAGTGGCTGGCTCTGGTTTCTTATTTTAAAGGAACACTAAAAGCCATTCATTTACTCCTCCCCTCATCATTCAGCAGCTCTGAAGGGAATGCCTGGTGCCGGGCACGTTCTGGGCACCCTGGACTCAGCAGTGCTACGGGACAGGAGCTCCCGCCTCCAAGAGCTAACATTCTAACGGGAGACCCAGATGGCAAACAGAGAAGTGATACCCATGTTGTCTGGCATATGGGGGAAGGAGGAGGCCCCAGGAGGGAGAGGACAGGTGATCGGGTGGGCCCCCCGGAATTGTCATTTTAACGCCAAAGTGTTTACACAGCTTAAGTATACGGAAGGTGGAAGCCTTACGGGTTCACCTCAGGACGTAAGGCTGGACTGTACTCTTCTGTAAGGAGACTCCTGAGCTCTTCACCCAAGAACCCAGTGATATATGAAGATAAGTTCATGAATCTGCTGGATGCAAGGATATGCTCCGGTAAGGTCATTAAGACATGCCTCTTTTTTCTAGGTCCAGTTTGTCAAAATTCTGCTGACACCATGGCCCTCCCTGGAGCAACTGATGTAATGTCCTGTATAAAATTAGCTACAGCCAACAGCCCAGAGTGATGTCAATGGGCGCGCAACGGAACAGCTTGGAAACAAAGCCCCTCTCTCTGCAGAATGGAGGGGAGCACAGTTACGGGGCTGCTCCGTTCCCTTGGGGTACACCGGCAGCTTTCACATGGGAGGAACCCTTCGGGACTCGGGCACAAGTTTTTGAATGGGTGATGGACACAACCGGCCAGCCCACATCAAGCCATTCCCATTCAAGTAACTTATTAACACAAAGGAACTGCTTCTGGCAGATGACTCTTATAACAGAATGTTAACCTCAGAACAGTCTTTGCCTAGAAGGAAAGCAAATAACATCCTCATCATCAACCAGGTACATTTAAATATCCCAGATTCATTAGAATCTTAGGAAAATGTAGAGTGACAACATTTGGTGACTCAAGAACGGCTGGCTGGTTTAACACCCAACGTGAAGCACTCTACTTTGGAAATCCCAACGGGGCACTCAAATGTTGTAAAAAAAAAATGTGGTTTGGCAATTCCTTAATGTGCTTGTGAAACAAATGTCATTATTCCCATTTACAGTGCTGAACAAGAGACACGTGTGCGAGGTTCCTCACCAGTGACAATTACTTCATACTTTGTGGGGCCCAGAAGAAAAGGAAAAGGCGGGGCCCTTGTTCAAACATGATTGAGAATGTCAAGATGGTGAGGGCAGGGCGTTCAACCCAGCGGTCACGTGCCTACAAAGCTGGGCCTCTTCCTGGCATGAAAATATTGTGTCTTTAAGAAAGACACTTGCCAACTCGCTCTAGAAGCTCCAAGAGCAGAGGACACACGACACCCTACTGCTAACCACCTTAATTTATACATTGACTGAAGACTTTGAAATATTACACCGAGCTTTTCCAAGCCACACGCCACTATTTATGGCCTTCCCCCCTGACACCCCTGGAAAGTACTTTACGACCCAAAAACTTTTCCGGCTTTACGAGACATTTTTACAAAATTCATCGCGTTGAAAATATTTTGAGGCACACTGGCTATTTTACCTTCTTCGTGTCCAAGTTGCTTATTTTTAGCTCTCTTTCTGGCCTCGATTTTATCCGTGTCTGCATTTACTGCTTCATAAACTGTTTCTGCTACTTCCTGCTGCCAGCGCTCGGAGATCACCAAGGGGAAGTTCTTGTAGAGATCTTGGTCGCAATCAAGAAGCTTATTATTTTAAGAGATCAAGAGAGTTATGATTTAACATACTTAGCAAGGCAACAGCTTCCGAAGTACCCTAACTAGACGTGGGGCGATAAATGGACCACAGCATACAATCCTCCAGAGATGGCTCGTTCCTTGTCACAAATGTCTGCCGCTGATAACCAGCGTGCCAACTGGGGACACCTTCACCTTCACCTTAAGGCCCGCTGGAAAGGACAGTCAGCCCGTTCTCTTATGCCAGCTTTGCTACATTTTTGCCAATGAAAAACAACATGTACGGGGCTTTATTTAAAGTACAGAAAGATCTGACAGCAAAACAGAATGTCAACGATGGCGAGGAGACTCTATTGCCAAAGTAGGCAATTACATCCCGTCCTTTGAGAAACAATTAAAAGGGAGAAGGTGGGAGGGTTTTCTCACCACCCTCAATTCATCTGAAAAGTGAGATGGGCAGAAGGGAGAAGAGGCTGAATTTTCCCTTCATTCCATGAATCTTCCAACCTTCCACGAACCCAGGGTAACAGCGTGATCAAACGTGCAACCACGGAGCCCGGGAGACGAGGGGGTTTAGGCAACTTCGCCTTTCAGAGACACGGGAATAAAAAGTACACTTAATAATAGCATTTCTCTTCCAAACTACTGCTCAAAATCCTTCATTCTTCCCCCCGAGCCGAGAGGCCACACTCTGAAAATGAGCAAAGAAAGTGATTTTATGCCTCTGAGCTACAATTCTGTGGCGAAAGGTGAGTGATCTCACTGAAAGCAGAGCGCGGCTGTCACTCCCAAGCACAGATCTCCTGAGAAACTTGATTTGCTTGCTCCTTTGCCTGAGAGAGGAGTACTGGAGAGACGTTACAGCAGGAAAGTTATTGACAAGAAAAAGAGCAAGAAGAAGCACTTGCCCCCAAGACTTAAGCAAATCAATCAAACACGGAGGGCTCTCTACCGGCCCTCAGCGACCTGTTAAGATCACCTGTTGATTCACCGAGCTCTCCTTTCCTCTTCCCGCTTCCTTCAGAAGCCCAGGATGAGCCCAGAGCTGAAGTCCTCGGTGGCCCAGAGCATGAACGCTGGAGGGGTATGCCCAGCCACGCCTGAGTGTGAGTGTGTGTGGGAGGGGTGGGGGGTGCTAGTACAGCAGGCCAGAGGGGCACCTTGGGATCACGGCCCCCGGTATGGATTCTGAAGGGTTTGCCAAAAGTAAAAGCATACTCCTTTCCAATGTAGCTTCTGGGAAGGGCCAACTCTGCTTTGTATACGAACCGTTCTACTTCCTAGAATTTCAGAGAGCCCTGACTTTCTAGGACTTAGCCTAAGTGACTGAAAATGAATAAAACAAGGAAGAAAACATGTACTTATCTGAGGTGATATTTTTTGTTGGTTTTGTTCTTGTTTTTTTAAAGAACAGTATATTTATTTGGGCTGCTTGTTTAAAAAGATCAAGAATGAGTGGTTTCTTAACAGGCAGAACCTCTAGCTGGACTAGGCTGTCCCAGGCTCCTCGCTTCCCTCTGGACCCCTGGCCACAAGCGTGCTCTAAGCGTGCTCATCCTCAGCTCTTGGTCACAAAGAACGAAAACCACATCGACAGAACCTCCTCACGGGGACTACAGGCCAAGAGGCTTAAAGTGGCTCTCTCTCCTGCCTCAGAGAAATCCAGGCATCAAAACCAGTCACAGGTGACAAAACCAGGTTGTGAGAGGTTACCCGAAGTCACTCAGCGAATAAGGGCAGATGTGAGCCCAGTCTGACTCCAGAGCCTTGATTATGGTTTACGAAATTTAAAGTATGAGCAATCTCTTCTCAACATCAAAAATGTCTGTGGGCTCCCACGTCATGGCCGTGGTGTTTTTAGCACCCTTTCGTAGCAGCACCTCTGATGACAACATTCTATGGGGACGACAGTAATCCTTTTAGGTGATTTTGGAAATGATCGTTCCCCGGAGCACCGCCGGCCGCCTGCAGTCTGTCCAGGTTGCAGACTGCGCCTGGGGGTGTGCACGTCGGGGCACCACACACACTGCAGCCCCCGGGAGAGCCACTGTGCCAGACCACAGAAGAAGCTTCTCTCTGCTTCCCCTTCACCTCAGCTTCACCTCCTGGGAAGCTGGTCCCAGAAGCACCCCGGCCACCCTTCCTTCCTGACACCGCATTCCAACCAGCTGCCACTCCTCGGGTCCCAATGCACCTGGTGTCCTCCTGGGGTCTCCTGCAGCTTCCCTCCTCCCCAGCCACTCAGCCACCACTTCTGTTCCAACTCTGTGTCCCTGGCCATGGCTCCCCACAGGTGCGTGCACCTTCTGGAGGGTGAGCTGCTTGGCAGGAGAAGTGAGGGGGGCTGACACAACCAGGGTATAATGAGGCAGCTGAGAAAAGACAGGGAGGCCCTGGGGGACGCTGAGAAGGTGGGGGCAGATGTGAGCCCGACCGTAGTGACACACTCTGACTTAACAGCCTGAGGGGGATGATTTTCCTTTGTGACTCACCGTCTGTAATCATGCCTCGTCTACTGGGAAACATGATGATATGAACAAAAGTTTGAAAAATGCAGAGGATTATATAAAAAAAAAAAGCACGCAGTGATTATTTCACTTTTGATTGACAAATGCAAAATGACTCATGCTGTTTGCTCTTTTCATCTGAACACAGACAGATCTGAATACTTAAAAGGATTAAGATGGCTGGCTCTTTGGCACGAGGCAAAGTGTGTCTGCTGTCACATAGTTGCTTTTCTCTGCTTCATATATGCTCGAGTTCTAGTTTAATTGCAAGTATATGCAGATCCGTAAGAAACTGACCACTTACCAGTTTGTCAAACATAAAATGATTAGTCCACAGAAAGCTTTCACTGTTTCTAATTTAGGTCCTTGACATCTACATTCTTCATGCATGCGGGTGTTCACTGATAAGTCACATTCCACAAGCAAGCCAATGTTAAGACAATCACTCAGTCTGATGGCCAAGAAAAACATCTCCCCACCCGCCAAAACACCCAGGGTGAATGTCACACGGGTACCTTGATGCCTTTGGTATCCTCTTCATCAAAGGAGCCAATGTCAAAGGCGTCGGCAGCATTGACTTCTCCCCGGGGGGGAATCAAAGGTGGAGGGTACTAGAAGATCCAAGAAAGCAGGGCTCAGTTATCAGATCACCTCACGGCCCATCCCCACCTATCACTCTACAGTGTGCTGCACTCTCTGAGCATTCCAGCAGCGGTCCTACACCTCACCATGGGTCCTTCACAAATGGGCTTGTGCAGAGAACGAGCTTGTGCCTCCAACAGCCCTAAAAGAAGCCCCCAGATTTTAGAAAAACTTAAGGGGAAAAAACAGATTCATGTCCAGGGTCTTAAAGCATTACTGAATATAATGAAATCTCCAGACTGTACATCCCGCCAACTCAGCTTTAGGAAAACACCGTGTCTCAGACAATGCGGCACCACATTCCACTTGCTGGAGCCTCAGTGTGCAGGGGCAGGGGAGCGCAGCAGAGGGAGCGCTCCACACCCACAGAGGTGCCCCGCAGAGGGGCCGAGGAAAGGCCAGCAGAGCCGCAGCCCGGTCTCTTGTTCACAGCAGGTGGGACTAACATAGCATCACCCCTTGACAGCTGGAGATGATGCAGAAATGAACCCAAAGCTGATCAAAATTAAAAGAAAAATTTTTAATGTGGGCTGTTCTCCTGTACCAACAGAAATATGAAAAAATACCTTAAGGGAAGGGATTCTGTTGATATCCAATCATTGATCCTTAAGTTGTGTGGTGCTGGGCTAGAAAGTATGTGTAGATTCATGACCCACGTTTCTCGTACATTTCTACATAGGTCCTTATGAAAATATAGTCACTGATTCAGACAGGAAGTCAAAAAGATTAGAGAAAGCTAAAAACATCTCAGTTATACAGACATCTGCATTAGATAACAGCTCCGTTTCAGTATTTATTAATGCATATTGCAGATATTTTGAAAACTTTTAAACTAGGGAAACAGAGAGAAGTTGGCCCAGAGGGAATCAGCGGTAATGGCAGCCCATGGGTGGAAGGGCAAGAAGGACTCGCACTGCTGTCAGGGGAACCTGGGGGCAGGGCCAGGGGCGGGGCCCTGGGGGGATGGACCCAGGAAGTGGGGACCAAGACCAAGCACAGAGATGGTGGTGCCCAGTGTGAGGTTCCAGACAGAGTACCTTTTGTAAGTAGACTTGCTGCCAGTCGATGCCTTTGAAAAAGATGTGCTCCTTCACTTCCTGTGCCCTGTGGAAGAGGCACAAAGGTGGTAAGGGTGCATTTGCAAACCTAAGAATGTTTTCCAAAAACTGTCTCCTGGGAAGAACACAGAGGAACGACTATTTTCAGTTCTTTCACTAAGCAAGTAAAATATACTTCCTTCAAAGCAACACAGGAAATACTGGATGTTTAGAAATATCGTATGGGGTGGAAACTAGGAATATTATCTCATGTGGTAATTTATTCCAGTTTGAGAGAACCTAGGAGGTGTCACAGATAGATACATAGGGGTCTGTCGCCAGGAGAACAAACTCAAATAAGACTTAAATTAGAGATCTCCACATTGAGGAGATTTGCAGCAAATGTCTACGAGGCATGTCAGATCAAACGATAGGCATATGAAGCACCAAATATGAATTCAGATGCAAACTAGAAATCTAGGAACATAGCGTATGCAAGACCTCCTCAGATACTGAAGAAACAAGTTTTCCCAGAGACCATCCTCAAAGCTCAGTTTGTGCGGAAGACAAGGGGCTGTATACCACGAGGAAAGCCTACACGGGGAAAGTGCATGGCCCCTATGCCCACAAGGGACTCTCTGCCAAGGCCTGCCCCGGATCCCCCCGCAGCCCTGTCCCCTGTGGCAGAGCCCCAAGGGCTGGTTCTCAGTTCCCTTCCTCTGCTATCATTCCTTGGGTGACCTCGCCCTGCCAGGCCTATAAGTGCCCTGTGCCTGCAGACAACTCCCAGATCCATGTGGCAAGCGCCGACCTTGTCCTGCACACCAGGAGGCCCACGCACCCAGCACCTGCTCAGTGTCTCCACTTGATGGAGCGAGAGGTCTGTAGAACTCCTGACTTACTCCCACGCCTTGTCGTCTAAACCCAAAGAGCCGGATCAGCCCCAGTGCCCCACTACACTCCGCAGCCCACCCCTGGGCAAGTCCTGGGGCTGACTACTTCTTACCGTCTCCCATCCTCACTGAGATCCGATTCCTGGTGAGGACAGCATGGTCTTTGATCATGAAGGAGATGCTAAATGTCCCACTACCACTGCCACCATCCAGGTCTCCACCCCCTCCCTGAATGACCCTAACTGCCCCCTGCCCCAGCCTGCCCTCCAGCCACACATCCCGCAGCCCCACCCACCCCATGCCAAGCCCACATCATCCTTTCAACCCATCTCCCTACACCCCTGCCCAAGACTCTCCAGAGGCCTCCTTGTTGCACTTACAGCAAAGTCTGGGGACACGGCCTACATTCAGGACCTGCCTGAGCCCACCGCCTGTCTGACCTGCTCTTGACCTCCCTCTCCTAGCTCTCCAGCCTTCTTGCTCTTCTGCCTCATGGAAGCTTGATGCCCGCCTCAAAGCCCTACCCTCACTGACCCTTCTGCCTTGGGTCCTTTCCCCTCTCCTCCTAAGGCTGGCTTCTCAAGGACAACACTGCCTTATTTATCTCATTCATGCTCTTCTCTCGGTCTGAGGTCATCTTACTTATCTGATCATTTCTATAACGCTGCTCACCCCCACCCAACAGAAGCTCCAAGAAGACAGGGCTGGGTTGGCCCGTGTGGACCACCTCAGCCCCAGCAGTTAGGACGATGGCTGACACTCAGGGGGTGCTCAGTAAGTGTTCAATGGATGGATGAATGAAATCTAAGTCAAAAGGTGTCCTTTTGTGTTTTGGATTTGTTCCTTTCCAACAATCGCTAAAATGATGGAAGAGGAACACGGAGTCATAAATGCACCACAAAGAGGGGTGCAGAACCATCAGTAGCATGATGAGTATGGACAAAGGAGCAGAGAGTATTAGCAAGAAATTGGCAGAGCTACTGCCTGGGGCTCAGAGGTGCTGAGTTCCAGGCTCAATGCCATGTATGTGGCAGGGGGGAGGAGAGGGGGATGGTGAGACATGGGCTGAAGACAGGCTGAACTCTGTAAATGGAACCCTTCATGCATGCACGCACACACGCACACACCATACTTTCTACCTCAATATCCAACCCCAAAATGCCTGCAGCTAGGTGTTTATTCCAATGGAGTGGGGGTGGGGGGACTCTGAAAGGTTCTATTTTGAAGAAATTTAGCCTGCTAAAGATTTTAAAAAGCAATCAAAGGAGGGATTAGAGATTTAAGCCCACATACAGTAGAACAGGATCAAAGAAAAGATACAGGGAATACACAAGGTCAGAAGCATTGATGGCCATTCTAGAAATTTCAACAGAAACCTAAAAGGAGTTCTATGAGCTAACAAAGGAAATGGAGGGAGAGGGACTGTCAAATAAATAAAAAAAAAAACAGCAAGCTGAAGAAAATGAGCCTCCACAGTACAAGGAAATCTCAGCGCCTGACATCAGGAGAGGTAACTGGGCTCCATGACCAGCTTTACTGCACACAATAAAGCAATATATCTCCAAAGTTCTGGGGGAAAATCATTATCAATTTAGAATTCTATATCCAGCCAAAGTATCAGTCAAGTTTGAGGACTGCAGGAAGGCGTTCTGGACACCTAGCAGCGAGAAAGCACGTTTAAGACAGCAGCCAGCCAGTTACACATGAGAGAAAACACATAAGAACCTGATCAGGATACTGAACTGCCGTCACTGCAAACATAATTAGTAAAACTTCACCAAATGAACTGTGAGATATCCGGATTCATTTCCACCGTCGACAGGATCGATTTTTAAAGTTGAAAAGCGAGCAACTCCTTCAAGTCGTTAATTACGAAACACAAAGGACAACATACATACTTCCCATTGGATTATTACCCCCTCCGGATCAAAGTGGGAGATTTTTAGGGGCTAGGAATGAATTGTGATGTATAGAAACTAACTGTCCTGTGCTCCGGGTGTCGGTACTCAAGAGCTAGAATAACAGCTCACCCGCCTCCGTGGCAGCCGAGCCGCTTACTGGCGTCTCTCTGGAGCAGGCCTTCTAGAAGGGACCGCAGTTCCGGGGAGAAGGCCTCTGGGAGCTCCACATTCTGGGGGAGAAAAAAAAACAAAACACGATTTCCAAGATGCCCTGACACCCAACCAAATCTAAAGTCCATTTCTTGGACAAGGACAGTATTAAAAACTGCAGACGCACCGTGAATTAATATTTACTCTAAAGAAACGTGAAACTGTGCTAGTCACAATGTGGGGCTTGAACTTCCAACCCCAAGACCAAGAGTCTCACACTCCACTGACAGAGCCAGTCAGGGGCCACAGATGCTAGTCATTTTCAATGTCACTCACTAAGCTGGGGTCAGGTCCGGAGAAACAGGTCTGCTCTTCTACGCCTCAGTTTTTCCTTTTCTTCAATCTTCTTACTTTAGTTTTTGATTTTCTGCATCTTTCTCTAATTGATGGGTGGCAAATTCTGATTTCTATCTTGACATCTATTTCCACTGAACTGTCAGGAATTCTAGGAACTCGATCGCCACTCATTTTTTTTTTTTTTTTTTAAAGATTTTATTTATTCATTTGACAGACGGAGATCACAAGTAGGCAGAGAGGCAGGCAGAGAGAGAGGAGGAAGCAGGCTCCCTGCTGAGCAGAGAGCCCGATGCAGGGCTCAATCCTAGGACCCTGGGATCATGACCTGAGCCGAAGGCAGAGGCTTTAACCCACTGAGCCACCCAGGTGCCCCATCCACTCATTTGTTTTTAAGAAAGCAAATTTTTCAACCGGTTGTTAACGGAATGAGACGTGAAGATAATAATGTGAATAAGAATGGAGTTTTTCAGAATGCCTGGCTGGCTAAGTCGGTGAAGCATGTGACTCTCGATTTTGGGGTCTTAGGTTTGAGTCCTCTGTTGTGGGTAGAGGTTACTAAAAAAATAAAGAAGAAGAAAATAAAAATCTTAAAAAAGAAAAGAAAAGAAAAGAAAAGACCCACCACCAAAAACCAGAGTTTTCAATCTCCTTACCACGGTGAGGGTCATTCGGTCTATCTCGTGCTTGTCTTTGGTTTTGTGTTGTCTGAAAGGGCTGTGCCTGTGGAAATGAACAGGAAATGAACAGCTGTCCCTGTGGAAATGAATCCTCATGTTGAGGATGTGGTTATCAGGTAACTTGGTGCATGTCCCTGGCTCGTATCTGGGGGGAGTACTGTATTCTGATAGTATTCATCCAAAACTACAGAAATACAAAACCCTACACATTTACCATTTACCGAGAAAGGCTGGTGTTGGGGTATGTTAGTGCCTGAAAGCGGGGGGGGGGGCGCTTATGCTCGTGTGAACTGTCTGATCCTCACGTCAGTGAAATCACGGTACTAAAATAGGCTTCGGCAAATATATCCCCAGTGATATTTTAAAATATCTTTAAAAAGAAAACAATCAGCCAGCCGGTACTCATGAAAATGAAGGCCATTTATATAACATTTGTCACTTTAGTGTTTGGAGAGAATAACTTTCATAAATTTTATCTCTTTCTTTCTTTCTTTCTTTCTTGTTTTTTTTTGAAAAATGGATATTAGTCCCTCAAACAACCCAAAGAACTGTGGTGCAACCAAAATGAACACGCCTCCCCCACTGGAAACTGGTAACCAGGCAATGCCTTCCTCTGATGATGACAGACATACATGAACCCTGTGTCCCTGGGGCCCTCCAGTTCTGAGAACTGCTTTCTCCTGTTGTACTTAGAGAGAGCCCCTAATGTAGGGGTCAGCAGACCTGAGCTCAGGGTTGTGATGGGGGTGTTTACTGGCTGCGGGCCAGTCATGGAAACCAAGAGTCTCGATGTCTTTGTCTGTCGATGGGTGTAAGGCCCTGTACTTCACAGAAACGGCGAAGGGAACAGACACCATGTGTGCTGGTGGCAGCCGAGGCCAGGGCAGTGCACAGCCATCATTCAAGAAATTAATAAAGATGAATCTTAACTTTATAAAATCAATGTCTGCTTGATAAACTAATGAAAAACAAACTATTCTTAGTCTTTACCCTGTTGTTAAAACCCCAGAGAAGTTGGCTTTCAAAGGAAATCTTATCAAAAGAGACTAGTAAACACACCAATTATGGAATCCTGGTCTTATTTATTTATTTGGAAATTAAAGAAGGGATATATGTACATGACTGACTTTTCTTACAGCAAGACATGCCTATAAAATGACGATTCCTCCAATTTTATTTTTAAGCCGTATATAACACCACCAGAGGCAAGATAGTGTCAAATATTGAAAGTTAACTCTATAAGGTGCGTTGGAAAACTGAGCACATAAATGAACGTGATTCAGAGAAAAGAACTCCTCCTTGCACTACTTACTGCTCCCTCTCTGACTATCCCCCTGAATTAGTGAAGTGAGGCACTGAGTCATCTCTCAGAAGGGATTATTCCATTTCAGAGCCTTGATGATCTCAAATAGTTTAATGTTCATTTTGTACAAGAGAGGGAACTCTAATGCTTTGTTTTCCTTCTTACCATGCAATGTAATACAGAGTAATTTCAATCTCTTGAAAGCAGTAATTTGAAAAATAAAATCTAAAACAAGGTGAATGAGTGCCAAGTGAACAAACATGCACTAATCTCTAAACCAGACTTTGGAAATGTTCTGTTCACCCTAATTGTTTCTAAAAAGAAAAATGTAAAATTACTGCATTTAAAAAGCAAATCAGATGTAACAACAAATGGTATGTTATTTTTAAGATATTGTCATTTAAAAAACCATTACTTGCATCATGCTCTGATGCCAAAGACAGGGAGACATCCTCATATTCATGGTTCAAGAGAAAAAGGGTGACAGTTCATGAAATCTTACTAAAGTTTCAGTCTCCGCCGACATGGCTGCCTCCACCCCACGTAGGCCCTGAAGGCGTGCAAAGGGACTGTGAGCAGATCTGGCGCGGGGGCACATTCTGCCGGTTTGGCTCCTGCACACGCTGCCCGAGGACCCCGTCCCTGCTGTGACCCCCACGCCTGCTGCTGGAGGGAAAGCGTGGTACCCCAACCCTTACAGAGAAGAACCGCTGTGTTCCAACAGAAATGCTCTGTGCTAAATTTTAAAAATCTTTCATGAGACCTGAGGGAGGCTCGCGAGGAGGAGCAGAGTTAAATTGGCGGTGCCAAAAACATTTCCAGCACATGAGCCCGGCCACTACCGAGGCCGCTGTGCACACGCGGCTCTCCTGCGTCCGACCCAGTAGGAAACCCTCGGACGTGCTCTTCAGCGACCCGGCTCTGGGCCAGCGCGCGGACAAAGTGCGCGCTCTCAGGTTTGAAGTCTCGAGGCACATCTGTTTCCGAGGCAGGCTTGATGATTCCTTGTGAACAAAACCAAAGATTCTGTTTCTATTTTGGAAACTGTTATAGAAACCCTACGAGAGCAATAATCTCTGCTCAGAGGGAGGCACGTGGTGCCCACAGAGTCTGGGAGGCTGCAGCTGCTCCCCAAGGCAGCCACTTGAAAGAGGAGATGGTTCAAGGCCGGCTGACAGCTTGCGGTGCGGGCTGGCCTCTCAGCGCCGCGCACAGGGCGCTCAGGCTCGTCGTGGGGCACCGCGGGAACAGAATCCCATGTGCAGCGGTCAGATGTGGCTTCCGACTCACGGAGCCAACGGGCGCAACTGCAGACCTTCCCTGAACAAGCTGGGGAAATCGTCCGAGACGGGAGAAGGGATGGGAACACATGCACGGGGTGCGCGCAGGTGCCGCAGATCAGGGTCACGGCGAAACAAGGGGCTCAAGGGCAACAAGCTTGAAGAGTGATTCAAAACTCTTAGGTCAAAATTTAGTTTTAGAGTACCAAACAGATGACATCTTACATCGGATATGAGTTTTGAACCTAAGCCAATAGCTGCCCAAATATTTATAAACATTCCCTCTTTTCCCCGCTACAGGAACAAACTAAGTAACCTGGGGCAGAGCTCAGCTGTCCCCAGACCACCAGCCAGGCTCTCTCCCCGCGTCTGACACCTTCGGGGACTGACATCAGAAGTGATGCGGTTAGGATCAAAGCTATTGCCACCTCAATTCTTTTCCGCGACAGACACCTGAAATCTAGATGGAGGGTCAGGACAGCAATCCCACACACTGGCAACATGAACATCTTCAATACCCCGTCCACCCCTGTGAGTCCAGGGATGTGGAATGCAATCTCAAGACTGGACACGTTGCCCACATCCAGATTCCGTCCTTCATGCCTCTGCGGGGCTCTTCCAGGTGCAAGGCAGTGTGAGAGAGGCGGACAAGGGCTTCAGCAGAGGCAGCCGGACACACTGGCCCATGGAAGAAGCATTCGACCGCAGAAAAGAGAAGCAAGAACCATCTGCTGGTGACCCCTGTTCGAGCGCACCTCTCCGCTGCGGGGAGGAAGGAAGATACACGCCTGGAGCAGACTCTGTCCTCCTCTGCGCTGCTGGTCTTCTGGGCAGGGCAATGCTGTGCTGGAGGCAGCAGGGCCCGTCCTTTATGTCATAAGATGTTTCACAGCAACCCTCACCTTCATCCGCCAGATGTCAGAAGTAGCCCTTTCCAAAGCAGTGACAAGCAAAAATGTCTCCAGGCGTTGCCAAGGAGCACCCCTCAGCTTCCATATCTCAGCACCCATTGGAAAAGCACAGCAACCACCACCCACCGATCAGCGTAGCAACATCACTAGGCCACTTGCCTCCTTCCTGGTCCCAGGCCCACAGGTCCCGGCCTTTTGCCTGGATCCCCACCCCTGTCTCCCATCTCCCTCCTCCAGGGCTACAGGTGTGATGCTGTGAGCACCTTCTTCTGACAAACACCCAGCCATGTCTCTCCTCTGCGTAAAAGCCTCCAGTCTCTGGGGCCTGGAGAACAAAGCCCCTGCTCCCCCCACCCTAATGCATAGGCTCTCCCTTCTTGAAAGGCTCTCCCTGTCTCCTCGATCTCCTCTCCCAGCATGACCTCCCTGCCCAGGTCACCACTGAGGAAAGGCAAACTGCCCCATATTGTCTGCTCCCCACAGGAAAACATGTTTACTTTGCACCAGTCTTGGAATTGCCAACCCTTTCCAGGCCCCCTTCAAAGAGCATCACCTGCGTGGAGTCAGCTCTGCTCTCCCAGATCAGCCCTGGGACTCATGTCTGTGCCCCCTGGGACACCACAGTCTGCCCTGCTCCTGTGTGTGGACATCTTTACTCTCCTGCGAGCTCCTTATGGACCGGACGTGGCTTTCTTCCCCCCTCCCTTCCTCTTCCCAGCACATGAAGCACAGTCTCCTGCATATTCTAACTACTCAATAAATGCTTACCAGGTCAACTCTAAATCACTTAAATCAAAAAACATTCTCCCTGACCTTTGGTTTCTGTGCTCTACTCTTTCCTGCAAATGGCTTCTGAACAAGCAAGGCAGAGAATGGCAGACGATCACACATCTTAGTGGGAAAGTTCCTCTAGTCCTGTTTGTATTACACACCGGAAGGTTTCTTTGCATGCCAGGCTCAATAGATGGTCGCCAGACAGTGATAGGGACCTTACTGCCTGTAAGGCACAACGTAGCACAGCGCTCCTCCCAAGGCCTGAGTGGCCACTGTTGTGTTGAACTGACATCATCCCCTCCTTAAAGCGCCTGCTCTTGGGAACGGTGCAGCATGAATATAACCCTTTGGGAAGACGGGTCCTCAGCCAGCTGGAGCCAACCGTTAGGGCTCCCCTAAGCCATATACCCGGTTCTTCCAAGCTTTCCATATGAGCCACAGTTCTAGATCTTTCACCATTTTCTTCTCAACCCATCCTCAGGAACACCTTCTGGATGTCTTCCTGTCGGCCAACACCCCTCTTGACGGGAGCCGCAGTCAACACAGTGACTCCACTGAGCCGGATCCAGGATGCATGAGGAATGACCCTCCTGATACAGTGCTGGGAAGCTGAGCTGCGGCCGGATACGGCTGGGTGCACTTTACTGGCCACCGATCACACTGCTGGCATATCGTTAATAACTACATCTTCAGAGCTTTCAAAGAACGGTGTCATGCCCGATCACCCCCGAGTGACACGGTGGGCATTATTATAAACAGACTAGAATCAAAGGAAACAAAGACATGAACCAAGCCCTAACTACACGGCTTGGCAGGTTTCCCAGGGACATTTTACTACTGACTTTCCAATCTTGACTGGATGTAGCTGATGTTTTCGCTGCTGCGTGGAATTTTCCTGTCTCAAAATTCTGGAATATGGATTCTGCACCAGGGGGGCCCAAACAGAGACCCAAAGCATGTCTCTGTGCGCTCACCTCTCACAGAGAGCCTCCACCGGGTGGAAGGACGGCTCGCGTGGGAAGTGGTTTTCTCTGGCCTGTCTTGCAGAAACTCTCTCTAATTAGGTCAGCAAGTCTGATGATGGGAATTAGGGCCATCCAGGCTCCACAAATACAGTAATTCAATTAAGGACCAACAGGACCTGACTCTCTGGGCAGTAACACGATTTTGGTTCCCTAGTGAAAACAGTGAACAGAGAACAACTAGATTACCGGGGTCCTGGGGAAGTGGCCAGAGTGCTGGGAACCTAATTTGAGGGGAAACATGGAATCCAGCCCCTTTGCCAAATGTGCTGATTACGGTAAGAAGATGTGGCAGTGCTCAACGAGCCTTCCCAGTTAAAATGCCAAAAGCTCAGCAAACGGCCAGACCTGTGTTCACAACAGAAATAGGAGAAGGAGGGTCTTGACCAGGAAATGTTAACATTAAGTGTTTTTTGTATCCTTGTGGATGAGGATGACCAAAAACATGTTTTCAAAACTTAAGATTTCCATTCCAGTTGGCTGAAAATTCTTAAAATTAATGGGAAAATGTGAACATAATCATTGTGCTCAACACGGGGACACACTTTGGACAGTGCTTTCATTCCCTAATCCTTTCGTTCTGTTTCACCGTCTTTGGTGGTGATTAAATTAATTCAAACCACGAAATTATGCAGTTTCGTTTTTGTGTTTTACAAAAGGCGAATTAACTTCAGCAGGGTTCAGAATACCTGCACACTTCTAAAATCCATTCACTTTGGGTCTCAGTCCTTTCTTATAACCCTCAAAACACTTACCGTTGGCAAGACATTCATGAGTAACTGACTCCTAATGAGAAAGATTCTCCTACTTTCTTCAATGATCCATATTTTAAATAACTCTTATGCCCCAAATAGTGGGGACCTATCCTAAATCAATGGGCCCACTGCAAAGCAGTCTTCTTTTAGGTTTAAATGTGCTGACATTCCTACAAGGTATGAAACAAAAATATGAAACTGTGAGCTTTTGCCTAAAAGTTAATGGGAGCAAAGCTCTCGGTTTGAGAAGGCAGGAAGAGCCCTGGTCATCGTCTAGGTTAGCGTGTGTGATTTTAAATGATATTAGAGTCTAACACTGTCTAATCGGTCTGGGTTCTGATCCGAGGACAAGCCGCGGTGGCAGTAACAGAAGGATGCGTTTCACTCACCCTCGCAGGAGCTTGAAAAGCATACAGCCCAGGGAGAACCAGTCGGCACTGCTGTCATACGCTGTCCCCTTCTGCAGGACCTCAGGAGCCATGTACCCATGGGTGCCCCTAGGGAGAGGAAAGGGCACACGCAGTTACCAGAGCATGCCCACCTTACAGAATAGTAACAGCTCAGCCAAGAGGCTCAGATGTCATTTGTTGAACAGCAGCAACTGTAAACAAAGGGGAGGGGACAATGGGGATTCCACACAACATGATTCATGGAACAAAACAACCTTTTCTGTCTTAATTCCTATTAGTATAAGAATGAAGATAAATAAGTTACAGTATGAGATAAATATGAAAACATGCAAGCTCCGTCCTGGAGGGGAAATCTGAACCATGTTAGTCTTCCTGCACTACAGCTATGAAGGGGTCTCCTGCCGGTTCCAGAGCTCTTGTGAGGCCATGCAAGGGGAGTCAGGCTGGGGGAGGGGGGAAGATAAGCAGGTGCCTAGAGGTGGTGCCCTGGACCTGAAGGGATGGGGACACCCCTCCGGTGTGACGCCACCTCCACGCTAAGGGCCTGAGCTGGCACACACTGAGGGTGGGGACTATTTACTAACACAGCGAGTGATAGACCCCAAGGGGGTGGGGAAGAAGTGGGGGGTACACGCCGACAGGTACAAAAGATGGAGAAATTCCATGCCCGGTTTTGAGGGCTGCTGACTGATCAAAGGGACCCACTAAGCAAATGAGAGGTTTTCAGGAAGTTGAGAACATTTGGGAGGACCAACTTTTTTTTTTTTTTCAAGATTTTTAATTTATTTGACAGACAGATCACAAGTAGGCAGAGAGAGAGAGGAGGAAGCAGGCTCCCCACCAAGCAGAGAGCCCGATGCGGGACTCAATCCCAGGACCCTGAGATCATGACCTGAGCTGAAGGCTGAGGCTTTAACCCACTGAGCCAGCCAGGCGCCCAGGAGGACCACCATTTTATCTTGATTTGCACTATTCTGCAACTCCTAATCCTTTTTGTTACTCTATTTGCTGCCCCTCCTTAGGATCTGAGCAGGCGCTATTCCATCTGAAAGAGCAAGAGGCAACTCATGGGGGGCTTTCAAAGACGCAGCCCGGAAGGGTTCCTGCGAAAGCTAAGCCCTCCCACCTGTCCGCCCTCGATGATCTTCCTGGACAGGATGGGTGCCAAGAAATCCCTCTATCATGCAGGGTTTACACGCGGATTCCACGTACATAAGGGGGTTAGAAGGGTGCTGGCACGAAAGAACAACTCGATCCACATCAGCGGTGTGAATCTCTAGTCTTCTTTTATTAGGATCATGTTTAAGTTATGCTCACTGAAAATCTGCTCAGAAAGTGATCCTGGATCACTCACAATCATTCCCGATCCAGGATCAGCACCGGGCCCAGTGCTCTTGGTCTAGAGTTCTCACTTTGGAAGACGGCTCTGCAGCAGCGAAAACGGGCGCTGGTCCATCACGGCAGACCCAGCACCTGGATGAGCTCCACCATCCGGACTCCAGAGTCAGACTGCATCAGGCTGGCCAGTCACACTGAGAGGGCACGGGAGGTTTCTGGGAGGGGCATCCGAACCACTGTCGGGGAAGCGCTCACTTCAGTGCTGTCCAGAAAGACCTTGGTGGTGACCTGCGAGCCTAGGATTCCTGGGACCAAATCCCACTTCTGGCATGGGAAAAGAGTGCGAGAACCAACACGGGGCAAAGCTGACACCGGATGTAACTGGAGCCCGGTACCGGACCTCCCGCCGTGTGGCTTTCTGATTTTGCCTGTATGGCAGCGACTGCTGCTTCCCGACATCTCCCCCTGAAGATCCAAACTACTCTGAATCCCGAAAGAATGCCCGGAGGTTCTGAGACACTGTGGCACGAGACACAGCTTTGTGTTCTTGGAGAAAACAAGCTGGAACTCCAATCCGGCACTGGTAATAAGTTCAATCCCAAAAGTCTTTGCTTTCTGAGTAACTGAAAGTTAACTTCTAGGGTACAGTAATTCGTGAGCCCCTGAACGGACCCACTCAGTCAAAGCCCAAATCGGGAACCTCAACCGCTCAACTATTTAAAGGTGGACAAGCGGGGTGAAGTCGCAGATCACAGCTACAGCTTTGGAAAGACTTGAGAAACCACATCCACGGTGAAATTCTGGCCAACAGCGCTCATCGGGTCCGGAGTTGACCATTTCCTAGCCTCGGGGAGTTCAGCCGTGTGGGGTAAGGAGTCCACGCTCTGGAGTCAGACAACCAGACTTCAATTCCAGCCCCACTGTGTGCCAGCTCTGGGACCCTGTTCAAGCGCCTCCATTTCTCCGGACTTCAGTGGCCACGCCACAAAGTAGATTACTCCACCAGTAACCTCTACCATTTCTGTGATGATGTGAGCATATTCGAAGCAGCCAGCCCTGTGTGCCAGGAACAGAGGATGTTCAGTCGGTGGCGCGGTGAGCGCTGTGGCTGCTGGCCCCACCGCCATCCACATACCAGTCACTGCCTACATGGCCAGCTTTAGGGGTCCCCGAGGCGCTGCCAACGCCAGCCAAAGGTGCCTAAAAGTTTGTCGCAGTCATCAGTGGACTTCACTTTCACAACACTCAGATGAAATAAATGCCACCGTCATCTCCTCTTTAGAGATGGGGAAAAAAGGAGGCACAACTTGAAGTGGATTCAAACCCAGACCTGCTGCCTCGAAAGCCTTTGTTCTTGGCCAGGAGATGACGCACTTGTAGAATGTGGCCTTCCTATCATCATGCAAGCATAGAAACCAATCCTCCCCGATCCTACCTCTTTCCACAGCTGCTGGTGGAATCCGAGAACAGCCCACCTCGTGGAGCTGGCAGGGGAATTACACTAAGTGGGTGCAGCTCTATAAGGAAATAAATAACCCCATCACTGAGAGTTCATTCCTTTGCAAGATTAATTCTTCTGAGCTCTCAGATGCGCCTTCTGTGGTGGCTACACTAAAACTGAAAAATTAGCATACCAAACAGCCTCGCATTAAAAATTCAAACCACCCTCTTAAAAAATGCCTGATGAATTTGCTGAGAGAAGCTCATGCAATCAGGGGTTCTGGCCTAATAATTATAAAGTGCTGGCAAAATGCCAATGCCATTATCACCGGACCCCAGATTCTGCAGGAAGGGAGAAACCTGTTTACAGAATCTGTGTTATTCACCATGCACCTTCGCTCAGGGCTTTGAAAGGCGACCCTGACTTCACGTAGCCCCTCGCAGGTACAGCAGTGCTGAACCACTTTACCTCTACAGCCAAGAAGGAGGGGCCTAGGGTTGGTTTTCTGCATGGATGCGTGAGGTGAGACCCCCTGGGAGTTTCTTCAAGCCCATTCAAAACGGAGATGAGTGTTAGCTCAAGATGGACAATAAAATGTACTTTTAAAGGATTTCAGTGCTGAGAGTGATACATTTACCACTCCCCCCAAAAAGAATAAAACACTCATCTGCTTTTCCATAAAATGCACACGTCTGTCCCTTCCAGCCAGATAAACTGAGACCAAAGGAACAGAAATGAAAACCAGTGTGTGTTCTCTCCTGCTTCTGCAGAGGCCTGGGACAGCGGCTGTCATCCCCGGAGGAGGGTGTGCAGAGGGGTCAGGTGCTGGTCGAGGGCTGGGGGGCAGGGGGCTCCCTCTGCATGGTCTTTGAGGGCTGGGGAGCAGGGGGCTCCCTCTGCATGGTCTGTTGTAAGACTGATGTACTTAATGCTCAAGTCTAACATGGCCTGCAAGCAGATGATTTATGTTTTTAATTAAAAAACAAAACAAAACAAAAAAAGGTTCCTAATTTCCCTTTGGAGAAAAAAAAAAAGCCATTTTGAAAATGAAGGAGAAAGTAGATGGAGAGAGATGCTTGAGCCCTGGGCCTCAGATGCCCCTGCACCTTCCCAGGCACATGGACTTCCCTTTACCCTTAGGACAACTGCGGGGACTTAGTATTGCCTCTGCTTTGTAGAGGAGAAGGCAGAGGGTCAAGCAGGTAAACGGACTGACTAGGGTCACATGGCCGGCATGGGCTCGGGTCTGCTGCGGAGCCCCCTCTCTCCCCCAGGGGCACCCCAGCCCCCTCAATCACGCTGTGGGTCTATCCATGCTCCCCGAAGACAGAGGAGGCACAGCCCGCTTATCTGCACTCCCATAACCAGAGATACGGGAGCTGCCCCTGGCCCAGCGTGATCACATACGGACAATCACCTCCGGCAAGAAAAAGCTGGGAGAGGAAGTGAGTGGACTGAGGGCTGGGCCCATCAAGGCATCACTGCAGAGAAACAACAGTCAACACTGAACAGAGTCGATGCGCTACTCACACACTCGCATGGGGCTTCTTTTTGGAAAAGTCACAGGCGAGACCGAGATCAGATATCCTGACATGTCCATGTTCGTCCAAGAGAATATTTGCAGGCTGAAGAGAAAGACAAGATGATCTTCAGGAGGTCCCAAACTGTCATCAGCTTTGAGAATTTCTACAACCACAGGCATGTGGTATCTTATCGTTATACCTAAACAGGAACACTGCACTACCAAGCTGGGCATGATACTGAAAGTCACACTATCCGTGTTTAAATCCCACAGGAAAGTGGCGATGACAGACACAAAGGAGACTACTCCTGAGATAACGAGACACAAGGCCGGGAGCTTGGCACTTGCAGGGGTGATGGGCACAGTTCATAAGAGTTAAAAAGTACCTCTTTCCCCTGCTGGGAACAGCAGCCTGGCCAGAGCCGTGGGCCTCTCCACAAAGGGAGCGAGCCCACCAGCTTCTCGGCTTCTGTGAACCACAAAGGCCTGCGGGAATGAGCCCACGAGGCACAGGACAGAAAGGAATCTCACGAGAATGTATAGCACGGACCTAAGAAATCAACACGTTCCAGGGCGCTGCACCAACACTGAGGAGAGGCATTTCTGCTTCTGAGAACAGACTCAGAAGCCAGGACCTCACTGGATGACCCAGGATGACTCTGACCACAACTCTGATGAAATGTATCTACTGGCATTAGATTTAGCCGCATAATCAGGGAAAACAAAGCTTCTCTCCCTCATATATACTGAATTACAGTCATCTTAATATTTTTCTGCTGGAGATCAACTATTGTTTTGCTTGAAATAAAAATAAATGGCATGCTATTATAAAGCCGAAGCATGAATAATCATGAGTGAGTAGAATTCAGTTTGAATAGAAATTAAATAATACCACTGCCTACTAAATAGCTTCCAAAACAAAACAAAACAAAACAAAATACGGCACAAAGATGATTAGAGACCGGTTACAGATCTAAATTAAAATGTATTACAATAGCGCTTCGTGGGCCTTCAGCATGTAGTTTATTCCTCTGCAAAACTCACAGGAGGAAGCGAAATTGTCATGCGCCAACCAGTGTCTAATTATTTCTAATTCAACGAAAGTACATTTGTTTCTCCTTCATGCTCAGATGAAAACTAAGGGGAAAATTTTGTAAGCTTGCAGAAAGCTTTAAATTTTACAGAGTGTTTTGTGACAAAGTAAGAGGCTCAAAAATAAAATATAATATTTTAGGATCTTGGGAAGGCAACCTTACAAAGTGAAGACAGCTAATCAAAACAGAGCAGCTCCTGAGAGAAAGGAGTGTAATCTGCACATCTTAGTCAGCTACACCGGATTCAATCGAGAAGGAATCTGAAAGAGAAGGGAAACACCTCCCCCCCGAGTGTTGTTACCCTGTTGAGAAACTGTCTCTCCTGTCATTTTCCTCCTCATTATTATGTGCATATTTCTGTATTTGCGGGATTAGTTCTATGATTTGTCAAAGTCCCTTTTATCTCTGCCCCTGTCTTTTCGCGATGACTGTCACCACGGAGGTACTGAGTAAAGTCCTGGTTCCCTTATCAATGCAAAACCCGTGACTGAGCACCATGGTCTGGAAGGGGGAAACTTGGAATAGACTCACTGCATTTTTTTCCAAGTCCAGAGAGAATAAGAATGGAGAAAGCCTAGACACAGCCTTCTGGGGCTCCACAGTTCAGGGACCTAAAAATCTGTTAGTGATTTTGAAGATGGTCCTAAAACAATGTGAAACCCTCAGAATGGCCCTTAGGGGAAATTCTGCCTCCAGCAAGCTAGTGCTCTGGCCACTCCACGTCTCGGTTCACCCATGTATAAATCCCGGAAGACACACGTTCTCTGCTTTTCATCATCGTCCATCACCGGTTCTAACACAGAGCCATGGCCAAACCAGTTGCTTAGTGAACATTAAGTGCGTGACAATTAATTGTCACATCAGCAATGCCAAGAAACTCCTACCTTGCTTGCCATTAATTCATTACAATTTTTGAGTTAGTGTATGTGCTGCCCCAGGCAGGGGAGCAGGAGCTGAGCTAACAGCAACGACTAGGAAGGAAAGGAGTCCCTGCCACCGAGTTTAGAGTCTGGACAGACGGACATCACACAGATGTGACTTCACCAGGGCTGAGGGGAGGGAAATGGCAGGTCCCATGAGAGATAAGAGACCGTCTGGAGACCCAGGGCCACAATACCTACTGCGCAGGTCTGGGAAACAGAGTGCTTTACCTTCAGATCTCTGTAAACCACAAACCGACTGTGCATGTGCTCCAGCCCCAGGATGATTTCCGTGGCATAAAACCGCATCTCCTTCTCCGAAAACACCCCATGTTGTGAAAGGTGATAGTGCAAATCGCCTCCTAGAACCGGAGATGCAGAGGTTAACACAGACTGGGTCAATTCCCAGGAAACAGAAATTGTTGCCGTCCTAAATAGTTAGGACGCGGTTGAAAAAAAAGGCAAATTTTGCTTCTGCTTTGTCTGTAATCTGTCTTCGACTTCTGTAGTTTGACAAAACACTTTAAGAAGTATAGAGGCATCTCAAACATTAGAAGACTTTCATGCAGGGATGGCCGGGACAATATACAGCACAGCCATCCCTGTCAGACCAGGAGCCCAGCTCCCAGATGCACCTGCATGGGGGGGGAGGGCAGCTAGTTTTTCTGCTTTGAGTATTTACATCCTAATAACTGGACCAACCAGGTAATGATCCAGCAGATGGCTTAGCAACTGGCTCCGTGGACAGTAAAGAAGGCAGCACACAGAGCAACAAAATGATCATATTGATAGATATTTGGGAAACAGACACAGTAAAATCTTAACTGGTGAAACTGGGAGGTGGGTATTGGGGTGTCCCCAGTAAAACTCTTTCCATTTTTGCCCTATGTTTGCAATTCTTCATAATAAAATATTGGAAAAAGGCAATCATCCTATGGGCTCAAGTTACAGAGACAAACAATGCCATCAACAGGGTAAAGGAATGTTCTTATAAACTGTAAAGGAACAGCCTCTACGGACCCAGAGGAGTTAATGCATGGCCAACTTTAGGGCCCCTGCTTTGGCTTACATAGCTCCCCTTTCATACACAAGGGTTCCCATATAACCACTGGCAGATCAAGATATCAAAGATTTCCGGCGTCCCAGAGGCTGCCTGGTGCCCTTCCCTGTCAATGCCTCAGCAACCGCCCTGGTTAGGCCAAAAGGTCTCCATTCTGACCTCTCACCATCCATTAGCTTTGCCTGTGCTCAGTGTCATGTACGTGGAATCACACAGGAGACATGCTCTGGTATCTGGCTTCTTTGCCCATTATTATGTCTGGAAAATTCCTCCATGTCGTTGAATAAATCTGGTTTTAAATCAAACCCTCAGAACATAACAGAACTTCAAATGAACATCCAAAAACAAAAAAGTAATTCATCTGCTGTACTATATGCATTCCATTTCAAACTCTTGTTACTAAAAATACTTTGAATATACACCGTGTCACTCTCTAGTATGAGAAAACTATTTTTCTAGATAGAACTTTCTCTGCATTTGCAGGGTCATCATTCATAGCTTAAAAGATCAATGGCTGGCTGGTCTCGGCTCAGGGTACAGAAGATGCGGCCTGAAGTCACGCTGGCCCACAGCCAGTCCTTCAAAGTTGGTTTTCAAATACACTTCTATCTTTGGCCCATGTTCTTATGAGGCATTTCATTCCTAAAAGTTGAGGGTCAGGAAACAAGCTAATTAAAGATCTAGGCCAGCTGCATTCCAGAAAATGAAGTTCCACTGTGCGTATTTCATGAAAATCTTTTCCAGAAGATGCAACTTCCTGGTGAGAGACTAGGAGGGCCAGAGGGCAACGGCGGTCAACATTTTAAAACGAATTCTGAGGGAAACCTGAGGAGTAGTAAGGTTTCCTTAAACTTCAGGAGGAACCCCATGACCTGAAAGACCCAAACCGCCAGGGATCCCAGGTCAGCGTGCGCTGAGGTGTACGTCCTGGCGAAGTCTTTCCCTGCGTTCGGAATTCCTGCGTGTCACTCACCGTTCATCAGATCCAAGATGAAGCAGAGCTTATCTGGAGTATGGAAGGCATAGGTCATACAGACAATGAAAGGACAATCCTAGAGAAAAAAAGCAAGGGTTTGTAAGAAAAACAAAAGCTGGCCCGGGAAGCGCGTGCTATCTGCTATCAAACACCATCCATAGATTTCCCTATCCACACTGCTGCCCTGTACGTTGAGCACAGACCCCTCTATGGTAACCTTAATGGTCCCAGCAAAACAGATCTGATAATGGGACAAAATGCATAGAGACAGAGCACTAAGTGGAAAAGATGAATTCAAAGGTCTCCGCTCTCAGATTCACTCATTACCCTTTTATCTGTGTCTTCTTCAAAGGACCCAGATTCTAAATATTGCTGTCTTGCTGGTCTTTTTGTTGGTCTACAGTTTTGTTCTGGCTAGTCAAATACCCATGTCAATCTCGGATTCTGACGTTGGAAGAACCATACTACAGTGGGAGGAAATTATCCACATTATTGTCTTGAAACACTGAGCGAGCATAGAAGGGAATTCAAGAAGGCTTTTCAAAAAGGAAAAATATACCAGGGTCAGGGACTGAATAGCTCAATTGTAAAGATATCAGTTTTCCCACAAGTAATCTAGAGGTTCTGTGCAATTCTAATTAAAATGAAAATCAACAAGCTGATTCCAAAATGTATGTAAAAATATACACAGCTAGAAAAGGAGAGGCATTCTAGAAGAAAACCAAAGCTGGAAAAGTTACGTCACCAGGTATCAAGACTTATTATAAAGCAATAGTAAATCAGACAGTGTGGTAGTAGCCAAGGACAGACAAACTGACCCACAGAACAAAACAGAGCATCCTGAAATAGAATCAAGCATAAACGGTCAATCAATTTGTGATAAAATGACACAACAAGGTGGGGGGAAAGGGTGGCCTTTCCAATCACCGACACTGGAACAACTGAGCATTTGTACAAGAGGAGGCGAACAGCCACCCCTACCTCCCACCACACATTAAAGTCAACTCCAGGTAGACGAAGATCTAAACAGAAAACAATGAAGCTTCTAGAGGAAAACAAAGCAGAGTATCTTCATGACCTTAGGGTAAGTAAAGATTTCTCAGGCCACAAAAAAGCACTAACAGTAAAAATGTTGCTACACTGGACTTCAAGGAAATTAAGAACTTCTGTTCTTCAGAACATACTTTTAAGAAAGTAAAAAGGCAAGTCACAGGGTAGGAGAAGGTATCTGCAATTCATGAACAAGAAAGGACTGATATTTAGAATATATGAAGAACCCTGGTACACTGATAAAAGAAAAAGGCAACCCAACAAAACAATGGCCAAAAAAAAAAGGCAGCAATGAATAATAGTAACAATAGTAATTAATTAATTTTTTAAAAAATGGGCACTTGCCATAAGAGAGTATCCAATAGCTTCCAAGCCTCTGAACAGATGCTGGGCCACAGTGGTCCCGAAGGAAATGTGTTATTGCAATATGTTATCACTAAAACCCACGAGAATGGCTAAAATTAAAAAGACCGACAATACCAAGTGATTGGAAAGATAGGGCGGGAATGGAATTCCCATGGATGGCTTCTGGGAGTTCACAGTGGTACAGATGCTCTTGCAAACTGGTCCTAGCTGCCAAAGCTGAGCACCATCGGCAAACCCCATGAGCCAGCATTTCCAGTCCTGGGTTTACTGCTCCCAGCAACCTGGACTTCTGTGCACCAAGGAGAATGGCCTGCGAATCCTCCTCGCAGCACTATTTGCAAGAGCCTGACCTGGGAAGTGACCCGGCTGTCCATCAATGTTAGGAGGGATGCAAGCATCCTGGTCTGTCTGTGCGGGGGAATACTGGACAGCCACGGCTGGCATGCGTTTTTGCAGGGGGCTCTTTTCCCTTTCTACGGGGTTCATGCAGGCTCAGTCCCGTATTCTTTATTTTCTATACAATCCCTTAAGGATGTAAGAACCATTCCTGGTTCTTATATGGGCTGCACAGAAACAGAGGCTGCAAGGCAGATGTGGCCCATGGGCCCTGCACAGCTTGCCAGCCTCTGCTATGTAGCCGCAGGACACCCTGCTGCTGCATGCAATGACTCAGAAGGATCTCGCACGCGACACGGGGCGACAGAGGCCAGGCATAGAACGTTCAGACAAAGCCCAGACACAGGCAGAGCTAAATTACAGTGTTAGAAATCCAGACAGTGGTTAGCCTGGGCGAGGGGTAGGTGACCGGAAGGGGCATGAGGCTTCTGGAACACAGGTCACTTTCTGTCCCCTGACCGGAGTGCTGGACAGGGAGTGTGTTCCCTTGTGAAACTTCGTCAGTGCTAAGCCGGATCTATGACTAGGTCTGTTCAGTCTCCTCATATACAGTGTACACTGGGCACTCACCTGATTCAAATAAAAACTGGCCAAAAAAAAAAAAATCTATATCCGCTTTCTTAACAGAAACAAAATATTATTTAAATTCCACAGAAAGCATTCAAGTTTCAACAGAATACTCTGCATACTGAATTTGCATTGTCCAAACCTCTGTTTTAAGGGCAGACCAGTAAAACTGAGTTAATACCTTCCTATACCAGAGATTCGTGAACTTGAATTCAATTTCCATGTATTTTCCGGAGGACATCACTCCAGAACAAGTGACGAATGTCATTTTGTGATCACCTAGTTTGCCTCAAAGCACTGTTGAGGTGGTGTTAGTGACTACTGATTTCAAGCCTGATTTTGCTTTAAATAGGCAAAATAAAAGAGCTTTCCTTTTTCTGTTAAAAGCCATGTGGGCAAAAAAAAAAAAAAAAAAAAAAAGCCACACGTCCTTCCTTGGAGGGTGGGGGGTTGCCATCCCTCTCAGAACCACACAGGGAACCACCTTTCTCAGAGCCTGCTGAAGATGGCTCACTCTCCTCCTTCCTTAATGGGCTTCCCCACACACTCCAGTTCCTGATCTGATGCACTTCAGATGTTGTGTGGAGAGGCTGGTAGACCCAGAGCTTCAGACGGCCAGAGTCCTTCCCAGCTAGGGACAGCAACTGTGCTCGCTCCACCACGGAGACAAGTGGACCCTGCCCAGGGGTATTCCTGAACAGGATGGGACAGGATCTTCTAACGGGAGCTCTGAGGAAGTAGCGAAAGGTTCACTTAAGATCTTATGTTATGAAGATGGAACATGAAGAGTCTGTTGTTCAGAATCACAGGCCGAGGAGGAAGGGCCCTTTAAAAAAAATAAATAAAAATCACCTGGTCTACCTTGTTTATTTTTAAGACAAGGAAACTAAGGCCCTAAAAAGGGGAAGTGACTTGCTTGAGGTCACAAAGAAATCTGGTAGGCAGCCAAGATCTCAAGCCCATGTCTCCTGACCTCATCCAGTTCTATGGATGCTGGTTACCAAGGCAGGGTTTCTGCAGCAATGGAAGGGGAACGCTCAGTTCAAGGGTCAGATCCAGGTGTCTCTACCCTGACCGCAGCCCCTCACCTCTCAAGTGCTGGGCAGACACCCTGGGTTTCGTGTGAAGCCCGAATCACAAAGGACCAAATACGGACCAACTCGACAAAACAGACAGCCATTTAATGACGGTGCACGTAGAGTTCCCAACGTAATCATGGTTAAGATGTTTTGCCTTGATTATCAATTAAAGGCAATCAATAAGGACTAGTGGGTCTTCTGGAGGTAGCCCCTCAGCGAGGATTTCCTGCAGGTAGCGAGCAAAGTAGCCTATGTTCTGTAGCGACTTTGTGACACCGTGATCAAATACACCATGAAGTAGTTAAAATTCTCCACTCTGCAGTCAGAGGAAGGCTTCTGTGATCTTCCTGCTGCAAACCCTTTGTTTCCAGCTGCTGTAAGATTTCCTTAAATCCTAAGAGCAGGCCTCAAAAGCTCTTGACGGTTTGGTCTCTCCCCTCTCCAGCTTCAACACGTTTGACTCACGCATCACTTCAGACCCCAGCTTTGCTGACCTTCCATGAAGTCCTCGAACCCTCCTGAGGTGCTGGGGACCTAGACACACGCTGGCATGTCCGGTGACTTCCAAGGGGCATCTGCTGTCACCTCCACCCTGGTAAATGCCTCCTGAGCACTGGGTCCTGTCAGCCGGCTCCTACCATGAGTCCTAATTATCTATACACTTCTGAGGATCAGGTGACCAATATCACCTTCTGTCATTCTGTGCAGCTCTAAAGAACAAGGACCAAAGTCATGTTTTGGGGACCCCCGCGTCCTGCAGCAGAATGCCTTGCACGGTCTAGGCCCTCCAATATGGTTCAAGGAGTGAATGAGGAAGATTTCCAAGGACAGAATGGGACAGTTTCAGGAAGGGGCTAACTGCTCTTTCCCAGGTATGGACATACTTATCCTGGTTCTGAAACCTGAAGATTTCCCTTTTTACTATTCTAGAATTATAGAATCAAACCGGGAACAGTACTTCCCACTGCCTCTTTGAAAGGTTGGGGGAAGGAACACTCAATTTGGGATTGGAAGGAAAAACAAAAAACTTCCAATAAAAAGAAAACTATAATGAGTGACTTCAGTTTAGTTTCATGCCAACACCCTGGGAAACCATGCTGATATAGGCTAATCTGAAGTTTAACCTAGTGAGGCCATTTTAAGTGAAAAATCGTTTAAAAAAAAAAAACCATAAAACGTGGCCTTTGATTAACAAAAGAAAGAAAGGAAGGAAGGAAGGAAGGAAGGAAGGAAGGAAGGAATTCCAAATAGCTTTATTACAACTCTTTTGGTTAAATTATGTATTTTTTTTTAAACTTTTATTTTTAAGTAATCTCGACACCCAAAGTGGGGTTCGAACTTAAAACCCAGATTAAGAGCCACACGCTCTCTGACTCAGCCAGCCAAACACCCGTTGGTTCAATTATGTATTGTTAAGTAAAACACAAAACAAAACAAAAAAACCATCAAAATTCCCCCAAAATGAAAACAAAAACAAAAGCCAGGTGTGATACTTGAAAAAAATTTAAACAGTTCCTGAAAGTTAGCTCAAAGCAGTAGACCAATATAAGCCCCATTTTTCATTTATTCCCTTAGAGGGTAAGACGGAGGAGGTACTGTATTCCCCTCCACCTGGAAAAAATAGAAATAAAAATGCAACATGAAAGTTGCATGTATATTTTTCCAACACCAAAAATTTCTTTTTCCATAGGCTTTCTTGAGAATAAATATCCAAAGTGTTGGAGATAACTCATTAAAAATTAATATTTTAATTACCACTTAAAATCTGGAGTAAGTGCACATCCATGTTTGAAATGTAAAACCCATAGCATTCCTGACAGACACGAGGAACCAATGCCATTCGAACCGATTCCAATATAGTGTGCAAGCTGTTTGGTGTCCACTCCAACTAGCTGAAAACGTGGTCAGACACACAGGACAGCTCTTGTTTGAAATGCTTAATGTCCATATGGTGGGAAGCAGAGGCACACAGATAGAAATTGTGTATAGCTATGGCATTTTCACTTATTACAGTTGAGCTAAATTATGATAATCTTTTACTTTAGTAGCAGATAACCTTCCTAAAACCACTTAAAACTCATGCTAGAATAATACAGAACACAATACAATAAATATAGGTGGAAACAAACAAAAAAAACCACAGGGCCTTGTCAGGTGACATTAAGAAAGAAACAACAGGGGTGCCTTGGTGGCTCAGTGGGCTAAGCCTCTGCCTTCGGCTCAGGTCATGGTCTCAGGGTCCTGGGATCGGGCCCTACATCGGGCTCTCTGCTCAGCAGGGAGCCTACTTCCTCCTCTCTCTCTGCCTGCCTCTCTGCCTACTTGTGATCTCTCTCTCTCTGT